GATCCCAGTCTCCACTATTTCATCCGAACAAGCTTTCAGTACGACAGGAAGAATACTTGAGGAACGCCGGAATGCATTGCAAAGGGATATTGTTGAAGCCTTGGTTTGCATTAAGGATTGGGATCGGGCCGATCAACGTCTACAAGATACAATTTCACCGGCAAGCCAAGAATGGATCGATGAATTTAATCGATTAACATTTAATTTTGAAGACGATCCCTCAGCTTCAAATTAAATTGTAAATTTGTAATTTGTAAATATGTATTTACTTTTTACATTGTATTTGTAATTTAATAAACAATGTAAGTTTGTACAATTTGTAATTCATCACAAAATGATTGCACTTTTTTTTGCTTGTCAAGTTTTTATCTCAATTGGGTTTTTCTTAGTAAGATTTTTAATGAGACAATCATGAATTACAAATTTAAAAATTAATAATATATATATAAATAACTTAATATTAAAAAAAAATTAAAAAAATTCGGGCAATTCGGGCGGGCTCGGGCCGCCGAATACAAGCCCGCGGCCCGTTCAAAGTGAAATTCGGGCTCGGGCGGGTTGGATTCGGGTTCGGGCAAATCCTCGGACTTTTCGGACGGTCGCGGACAACCCGTCCAAAGTTCCAGCACTAGTCATGGTTACCTATTAAGTCTCTGATTCGATTCAAGTGCGTCTCCAAGTCGTGGTACGCCCTCATCAGTGACCCGACCTTCGTGGCCAAGCATCTCCACAATGTCAACAGCAAGATATTGTCCTCTTCATCCTTCATTTTCGGTCATATGGGCGCTACCGAAGGATGCTCATTGCTCACAATTTTTGGTTACGATGATGATGATAATGACCGCATTCGTTGTAGCACTGAAGTATTGAATTTTCCAATTGATCCCGCAAAACATATTGAATCACTTTGTTATTGTGATGGCATCATTTTCATAGGATTATCAGCCTCGAATCTTACAGTTGAAGGTGTTTTGTTCAATCCCGCAATCAAGGAATCCAGGGTTCTTCCGAAACCATGCTTTGCTGGTAGCTTTATGGAGATGGGAAAGGGATTTGGCTACGATCACAGGACTAATGACTACAAGGTTGTGACGTTTGGGTTCGTCAGACATGGTCATGAGAGAAGAGCTGAAGTTTATGGCATGGCAACTGATTCTTGGAGAGAGATTGAGATGCAAATCCAAACTAATGGAGCATTTTCAGGCGCCGAAGTATACTGCGAAGGAGTTTTTTATTGGCGTATGGCCGATTATAACCACATGATCCTTTCTTTTGATATGAGTGACGAGGTGTTTCGCCGGATACCATTGCCTAATAATCTTCAAGAACTAGCTATAGACCTAGATATTGAACTTGCAGTATGGAATGGATCTGTCGCTTTCTTTTACTTTCCAGGTGAAACTGAGGATCCAACATTATTTGTGATGAATGATCGTGTTGATGATGCTAGAGGTTCTTGTTATTGGGTCAAACATCTAACAATCGGACCCTTTGAAGGCATTGCAAGACCATGGATATTTTGGAAGAACGATGAGCTCCTTATGGTTAGGAAAGGTACCGAGGGATGGCTGGTGTCTTACAATGTTCGCAGCAAAAAGATTAGAGGTCTTCCGATTCAGGGCGAGCGGGGAAGGTATTTTAGATTCTTGTATGTGGGAAGTCTGGTCTCGGTGCAAAGAAGGGGACAAGCTCAGTTGCAAATATAATATAATATCCAGTTTGATTACTTTAACAAGAATCTTAATTTATGATTTTGGAAGAGGATGCACTGCTAATTATTTGGACCTTGATGGTAAGTGGATGGCGAATCTGATGTGAGATCCGAACTCTGAAGCAAGACTGCTTGATATTAAGAAGCTGATTAGTTAGTTGATGTTTCTAGTTTATGTTAAAGACTGTATGAGTAGCGAAGTAGTTTAAGGTTTCTGTATGCAGGCTTTAACATTATGATATTAAGGAATAAGGAATGGGTATGTGGGGGACTTTTCGTTTTGTAATTCTTCCTTTCTTTGGGAAGCTGTTTGTGTTTGCTGTAATTGCTTGTTCCTTTGTTAATTAACTAAAATGTATGCTTGAAATTTAAGATTGCATCTATTTTTTGTGTTTTCATCAATAACCAAAAACCGAGTTATATGGGCAACTTCAGTCATTTTAAAGATGGCAGATGAAGAACCAAAATCCAATTCATTTAAGGTCTTTTCCCTCTGCTCATCAACTTATACAATTTTGCTCTTTACTGAAGAAACACCAACTTCGGTCACCGGCACAGGTAACACATATCTTAACAGAATTCCATATTTGGTATCATAAAACCAATTAACTCGTCTTAATAGAATTCCATGGGGACTATCTTAAAAGTTTCGTTCATTTCACCGGTTTGAATTTTCAATTTTAAATTTATACAGTTAAGAACTTTCAGAAAATGTCGCATTTAACTTTTTCTGTTATAGTTAAAAAAAATGTCACATCTCAATTTGAATTAAAAATCGAGGCCTAAATCACTTCCAACTTAGAAATGATTTCTTCAATTTGGATTGTTCTTTGTAATTACCTAGTACTACTTAAGCAAAAAAAATAAAAATAAAAATCATACTTAGTAACACTGAACAGTCCTTCTCCAAGTGTAAAACAACAATACTTTGGTTTTCTCAACAGGAGTTCAAACTTCAAACCCTTTTATAAAGTTTAATTGGCTTTTACAACACTGATATCACTTCATATACATATATGCTGTCACATTACCACTTTTTTTTTTTATCGTCACGTTACCACTTAACTCTTAAGTGTTTTTTTTTTTTTTTTTTTTTTTTTTTTTTTAAATATATCATCAGGCTGCCACTTGAGTTGTCACCTGTGTTTTAGCCCCTTATTTTTGGAATTCGTTGTCAATTTTGTTTTTAGATTAGCACCATTGCGTCACGTGAGTCCTTTGAGTAACTCATATTTACTTGTACCAATTGTTGGTTTCGAAAACCAATTGCATGAAAAATTGTTGGAGCGCAGTATATGTCAGATTGTAAATTTTAAAAATTTTCTTAAAATTGTTGATGCATGTGTAAAGTAAGAATAAATACATAAACCTAAAATGTTAACAAGATCATGGCACCGCTTATTAAGAGACTCATTTATGTACTCATAATCTAAAATGTTAACAAGATCATGGCATCGCTTACTAAGAGGATGTTTATTTCATGTATTCGTCTATGATTCTGAATCATGATTTATGGTTCTCTATAGTATTTTTCTCTTACAAAAAACACATGTAAAACGAGAATAACTCTGAATCAGATTCTGAATTTATGAATTAAACGTCCACTAAGAGACTTATTCATATACTCATGACTGAAGCTACATAGGACTTATGGGAGTCCGTGCCCCCACTCACTTTTTTATCTATTTAATTTTCACTTATATTTTTATATAATTTTACAAATGTGCCTGCATCAAAATATATTTTCTATAAAAAGTGACCATGTTTATTTTTTTTCTTGAACCTATCCCACTATATTAAGTTATTTAATTAGTTTTCTTACTTAATCTCCTAAATAGCCACTATTCTTTTGGTTGAATAATCTTAGACAATATTTGATCTCTTTTTTATTATCCAATTTTTTCTTCCACGCTTTTATAAAAAGCTTTATTTGATTTTGAATTAATACTATTTAAACAAAATAAGTTTGTGTTGATTAATTATGTGTGAATTTTACTTCTTAATCTTGGGAATTAGCTTTGATTTGTGTATTTATAATTTATTTCTTAAAGAAAATTGTTAGTAACTATAAGGAAAAAAAAATATAAAAATGATGAGAAATTAAAAAAAAATTCTTTTGAGTGTCCCCGCTGAAATAAAAACTCCGTCCTTGCATACACCAAACCCAAAAGTCCTTTATGTCTCAGTTTCTGTTGAAATCACAACTAAGCAACTAAGGCCTCGTTCGCTTCGTAGATTTGAATTTTCAATTCGAGCTGAGATGTGACATTTTCTGAGAGCTTTTAACTTTTTTTAGAAAAGTAATGAAAATATTTGCACTTGAAAAAAATGGATTGTGCACAGAGGCTTACCTTAACTGGCATGACAAGACAATGACTTAGTTTGGTATTACTTTTTTCTCCCAAAATCAGCTTCTGCTTGTAACAAAAGTTAATTTTAGTGTTTGGTAAATCTTCTCAAAAGTACTTTTTGAAGAATTTTTTAAAAATCTACAGCCAAAATTAAAAGCAGCTCAAATGCAACTTTAGCTTTTAGATTGGGCGGGAATCAACATAGTACAATTAATAAAACTTTCATAATATCCATAATACCCCTAATGAAATTTAAAATTTACAATCTTTCCAATCTAAAATTCAGACTCATAATATAATATAATTTTAATATAATATAATAGTAATATTGTAACAAATAATTCATAATTATATTAATAACTCTAATATTATTATTTTATCATATAATATGACATTATAATAATATTATAATTATTTTAATAATATAATATTATAATTATAATATAATTATAATATGATATTGTAATTATTATTTTATAATATATTATATTGTATTGATATAATTATATTTATTATATTAATAATTAATATAATTTTATATTAATATAATTTTATGGTTCTAATATTATTATATATTATAATGTATTACTCACGTCATGATTATATATTTCTTAAGTATTATTATAATATGTTTTATAATATTGTAATTATATTAACCATTTTAAAAATATTATTATATTCTATATCATAGTTATATAATATGTTATTTAATAATAATTTTATTGTATTATATTAAATATAATAATAAATATATATTATATTATAATTATATATATTATGTTATAGTATAATATAATATAGTCGTAATTTTTAACTATTCACAGCAATTTAACCTCATAATTTACCAAACGTTATTACACTAATTTTAAAACCAGTATAGTTACTATAATTATAGTTTACAAAACACTCAGCCGTTTTTTTCCTTCAGGACAGCTAAAAATAATTTTTTTAAAATCTGCAGCACTACCAAATTAAGCCAATAACAGATTCCAGATATCTATTAAAAATTCACCGTAGGTACACATCAATTTGAACTTCTCTTCTTGAACCTTCCTTTTTTTTCTCTAATAGCTCTCGGTGAACATGTTCATTTTGGTTAGTTTTGGCCTTTGAGTAATAAAGTTTTTTTTTTTAAATTGAACCTTGAGTAATAAAGTTGAGCTCAACATATGGCCTCATTTACTTTACGGATTTTATTTTTTAATTCAAGTTGAGATATGACATTTTTTGAGAACTTTTAACTGTAGTAGAAAAAATTAGGTCTCTTTCACTTCACCGATTCGAGTTTTCAGTTCTAAGTTTCTACAGTTAAAAGCTCTCAGAAAATGTCACATCTAACTTTTTCTGTTACAATTAAAAGCTCTAAGAAAATATCACATTTCAGCTCGAATTGAAAACTTGAATTTGCGAAGCGTTAGTGTTGACATTTTCTGATAGCTTTTAACTATAAAAATTTTAAATTGAAAACTCGAATTGATGAAATGAACGAGACTATAGTGTCACATATATGTATTGGGACGATTCTCCAAAAGCTGCTACAGATTTGACGTTGATATGATCGTTTTAAATGCTTTATCTTTTTTTAAGAGTGTGTTTGGTCGAAGGGAGAGATGGAGGGAGGGAAGGAGGGAGAGGAGTGGAGAGAGATGACAATTCCATTGTTTGGTTAGATGGATAAGATGAGGAAGAGTTTGGATCCTTTCCTCAATGGAAGGATCCATCAAATCCCTCAAATTTTAAACTAAAAGTCTATTTCACCATCAAAAAAATTATTACTAAATAATAAAATAGATAATATAGTAATTTGACAAACAACCATAATCCATCTTTCCAACTCTCTTTCCAACCATAAAGGATTATCATTTATCACAATCATTTCCATGCTTCACCATCCATAAAATTTTCTTCATCCCTCCTCCTCTCCATCCCTCCTTCTCTCTATCCCTCCTACCAAATGGAGCCTAAAGGATTTTTATGGGATTCTTTACCGTGAGACAAAAAAAAAACCACCGATGAGACCCCTGCTTTTAACCATTCGATTAATTTTTCAATGGTCAGATTTGTACATGTCAGTATTAAAAATTTACAGCGTGTCGCACAGAATTACTCCTACAGAAAATTATTAAAAAAATGAGAAAAAAACATAATCAAATTGCCACGTTCATTTCACCGACAATGCTAATTTTACTATAGTTAAAAACTCTCACAAAAGGTCATATCTAACTTTTTCTATTACAGTTAAAAGCTCTTATATAAAGTCACATTTTAATTCAAATTAAAAATTCAAATCGATAAACCGAATGAAGCCGCAACTGCTTTAGGTTCAAACCAATAATCCCATAGAAAACAGAATCCAGCCCTTACCAGCAAGCTGTCCTTCACAGAATCACAAATTCCAATATATATATATATATATATATATATTAGATGTTTACCTAACCACGTTTATTTAAAAAAAAAAAAATTCAAGCAAATCAAAACTTTAAGAGTCCCACGCGTAAAAAAAAAAAAAAAAAAAAAAAAAAGTCTTTCTCTCAACTTCTCTATATAAAGAACTACGGATTTCCTTATTCATCATGTCTCATAAGTTAGTGTTGTCTAATTTCATCATGTCTCATAAGTTAGTGTTGTCTAATTTGCTTTGAATTTCCAATATATAAAAGCCTTATAGTAGTTTTTCCTAATTTTAACTATATGAATAGTTAAGGGATTCTTGGCTGAGATATGCTACCATAGGACCATTTCAAGACATTGGTAATGCGTGGAAGCTCCACAAAAGTGATTAACTTTAATGGTGCATCAGGTTAAGTACTATGGTTTTTCATTAATCAATAATTTGGTTTCTATTGATTAGGGATCACACATACTTACCAAGACCTTATATGTAACATGCAACTAAAGTACTATGAAAGATTTAAGTAGAGTTGAAACTATTTCGTAGAACAAGACATTTGGAATTGCTTTTTGAATTTAGATGTTTCCATTTCTTTTTTTTTTTTTTTTTTTTTTTCTTCACATATCTTGAGTTTACTAATTGTGTGCGCTGAAGATATTCAAGCATGCCACCTCTTTTCTCTAACTTCATTTGTGTTGTTAATTTCGTCAGTAAATAGAACTTATAATTCCTGAGTAAATTTTGAGACTTTCACTCGCCCCCTCTCCTAGCCATTAATTCACAATTTGCTTTGGGGGAAATTCATAAATTCTCATCTAAATCAATTTCAGTTGCTTGGATAACAGTCAAAAGACCCATGTAAACGACTTCTGTTGGGACTTTGACGTTATATGTATACGTGTAATCAGTGACGGATTTAAGTTTTAAGTACAGTGGAGACTACCGGCCCCACTCAAATTTTTTTTTAAAGAATATTATCTTTAAAAATTTTAAAATTTTACACTTAAACTCCCATTAAGATAATATATGCCCCCACTAAAATAAATATTTTTTTATATGTTCCCACTAAAATAATTTGTTAAAAAAAATTTAGTGTACGTTCCCACTAAAGTGAAAGGCTGACTCCGTCACTGTGTATAATAATGAACTCAACAATATGATATTTACTAATTTGACCATAATTGACCTTCATTCTTGCAAGACAACGAAACCTTTGTCCGCATTCTCTGTATGTATGGAAGTGCTTTCTTAAGCGTGGATGCAAAAATTTAGTTTGATAAAATAAAATAAGATAAAATAAAAAACACAAATTAAGGACTCCATATTGTCTTTAAAATTCTGTTAAAAAAATTTGAAAACAAAAAATGAATCACTAATGGCAAGCTTGTGTTGGAGCTTGCTTACATATGTGTCCTTAAACGATTTATGCCGCTTGAGATTGTATGAATTAAAAGGCATATGGTTTGTTTCTTTTTAATTAGATTTAAATTGCAATTAGAAAAATTAGTTGATAAATTTTAACTCTAATATTCAATTATTATATTTTTTGATCGGCATAGAATTGCAAAAGAAATGATTACTAGATATTTATAATGTCTCATTATGGATAAAAAATAAATAAATAATTAGTTAAAGATTAAGGAGACGTTTGGTTCATGGATTAGAATCATGTGATTAAAATTATTTTTGATTTACGTGTTTTTTTGTGAGAGAAAATACTGTAACGAACCATGAATCATGATTCAAATCATGGTTTGAATCCTCCAACCAAATATCTCATAAAGGGTTTAGACTATACATTCAAAAGTTAGAGGGTGCAAAGTAGGTCAGAGTAAAAGTTCAATGGACCTAATTGAATTTTAAACCTTTTTATCAATAGTCACGACTCTTGATAGTTTACTAGTTTATGGTTTCATTACTCTTGGCTCATTGGTACGATTCAAGTTTTCACATTCAACCTTGCCTAAATTCATCCTTTCAAATAGGGGCATTGCGGCTCGTTTTTTGAGTAAACGTACATTTGGTAGTTTAGCTGAAACATGTCATGACTAAATCCTAACATTGTTTCTCATGGAACAATAATCTTCAATATATGAACTATGGGAACTTCTCTGCTGCAACTATGGATTATGCAGAAGTTGGTTCCGTCTCTGCAAGAATCCGCCTAACTTCAGTCGCAAGATCGATTACGTGCTTGTCTTTGCATCCTAACCAAGAAAAATTTGGACAAAAAAAAGAAACTTACAATAAATATCCTAAACAAGAAAACAAACAGCCAAATTAGAATCACTTGTCAAAAATAAACTAAAATGATACGTATTCTTTTGAAAACAATAAAAACTGAAGAGGCCCTAAAAATTTTTGTGATGTATTTAATTTTACTTCCTTACTATGTAGGTTACTTGCAAGAACTTACCAAGTTGAAGAAGAGCCTTTTCCAGTTGGAAAAGGTAGTCTCTATTAGGTCCTGAGGGACCTTCAGCTTTAACAATTTGTCTGCAGAATCGGGAAAATAAAAGAATCACAAGTCATTTTTATCCAAGCACAACTACTTAAAAAGACGTTCTTGAGCTGCAAATGATAAGACTAAACGTTATCATACGATTTTCAAATCACAATTGCAAAGTTTAGTATTATGTATAAGAACTCAAGTTCGAAGTTTTCTGAAAAATGCACGTACAAGCAAAGTTTTCTAACATCTTATAAAGCAAAAACCCCGAGAGATAGATCAAAGAAGCATACTTGGCAATCTCCCCAGTGGAGGCTGGCCCTAAGTAGTTCACATTATGATTCTTGTCCGGAGATGCAATGTATCTAAAAAGTGAAACTGTCAGTTCTGAACTGGTTTTCTTGTGCAATCCAAGGTGATTGAAAAATGTAGAAAGTTCTTGGCCGGTTTCTGCGACTTACACCATTACTCCTGAAACGGCTGGAGCAGTAGCTGCAGGATCCTAAAAAAATGTAATAGCTTAACTACATGATACTACTCTGATTTCGAACCAAAATGACTTAACTACATGACTTACAGTGAAGAAATCAACATAAGCCTTCTGGTCATATTGCTTCTCCCTCACTTCTAAATACTGTCAGCAATAACACCAAAGAATGAGTTGTAGTTGTTGAGATGTAATAACTGCGTCGGTGAAACAAATGATGAAAAGAAATTACAGTATACGGTGATGAGATGCAATGGTGGAAATGACGAGTTTATAAGCATTAGACCATTAAGAAGCAAAAATGGGAATCGAAAAGTAATTGTCATGCAAGAGCATGAAGTAAACCACTCAGATTGGTGTCTCAAGAAATGAATTTCCTTCAGGAAACGATATACTATGTGCATAACTGTAAGAACCTAATATACTTTGATTGAACTCCATACATGTTCTCAAAAAAGAATAAGGTGTTAACAAAGTTTATAAGAACATTGTCAGGTGGAATTTAACAATACAGTGAGGTGACAGGTGAGTTCATGTAGCTTGCAGCACAGTCCTTATTAAGAGCTCCAAAAACAAGGTCAATGAAAATGATAATGTGCTTTATTTAGATGAAAAGGTTTGAAAAATTAAGTTATAATGAGCAAAGAATGATGTATAGATATATACATTGATAGTATGATACATAGCATTATAAATGTGATTGTTTTAAGAAATAGCCAGGGAGCACCATCATATACTTATTAAGCAGATGAAATCAAATTACGAGAAATTAATAGAAGTCTGGTTCTCTGCTTCCTGATTGAAACATAAAAACCACAAATTTCACTTTCTTACAAATCTTCTCGTAAAAGAACATAAAGAAATTTAGCGACTATGTGCGCCCATTACGTGATTTATGAGCCTTACCGTCACTGCAACTTCTTGGTCTTCCTTCTTGGAGATCTTGTAGGCAGCTCCCCACTGGCACCTCCAAAAAATAGAAGAGTTAGTCTTGATATATTGGTTCCAACTCCCATTGATTATTTCAAAAAATCATAAGGAAACCTTAGAATTACAATGTCCACAAGTCAATACAGATATTGAGCATTAAAGATGACACATGGTATAGAAATTTCTTCAGCTATACCATAACTGAGACCTAGAGAAAAAGGGTTCCACTACTCTTTTTTTACAGCCAAATTCTTTTGAGTTTTAAGTCCACCACCTACATATTAATGAGGTTTTTTTTTTTTTTTTTTTTTTTTTTTTTTTTTTTAATAAGAGACAAACCGTTTGGTTCACTGGTTTGAACTTTTTAATTTGAACAGAAAAATTTAAACTGTGTGGTTTAAATTGTAGTTTGAATTGACGTTTGGATGTGTAGTTAAAGTTTTAATTTGAATAAGGAATAAACTTTGAATTTGTGTTTGGTAGGTGTGAAAAGCAGAGAGAGAATGCACTTTTTATAGTTCAAAAATGGTTTGAAAGGTTGAACTTGAAAGGAGAGCTAAACTCTAAGTTGAGCCATTTAACTCAGTTCAAATGGGGAATATAATTCAAACTGCATGTTTACCAAACGTCAGTTCAAACTGTGCTCATTTTTTAAATTGAGTTGAACTGAACTAAATTAGTGAAACAAACAGGAGCAAAGAACAAACTATTGATGAATATTTTATTTTTCGGGAGAAAATAGCTCAATGTTATCTCCTATTTATCCTCTTTCTCATAATACTTTTCTTTACTAGTCAAAGAGATCAATCTTCCTATGACATTTAACTAACTACACAAAAGGTAAGAAGACAGAACCCTTTTTTTTTATTTGCTCAATAAATAATTTGAAATTAAAAGAAAAGGCTTAACTGGTGTTTCATCACTAAAGAAGAAATTGGCTAAGACTATTACCAACAGAATTTTTCATTACACTCAATGTCTTTCTTAGAACTAGATGATCTATTTCCTAACCTATCAATTCCAAGACAACAAAGCACAGTCAAATACAGCATTTAAGACCTGATTCTTAACTCATGCTTAGTTACGTGGAGTCTAATTATCGCCTGGACACAGAGTTGGTCCAATAAAAGTTCTGATGATCACACTGATTGTGAGTCGTGTTTGATCATCTAAGCATAAATCCCATAAGCTTAAAAGAGCTAGTACGTCTCATCACATCACATCACAACGATACAAACCAGTTGAAAACTTTCAAATTTGATCAAGTGGGCAATTCACATTTTGCGAGAAACTCACACAGAATTCGCCCCCCGCAGGCTCCAACGTCACGGTTCTTCCCGGGTACTCCGGTGTCCCTCTGTGGTCCGTACTGCCTGCAATAAACAAACAAAACCCAAAAAGCCGAATCAGAAGCATGAACACAAAAAAAAAAAAGAAACAGAAAAACGGGGAAGAAAAAGAAAAGGAAAAGGACCTTGGTAGAAGACACGGCGATAGCCTTTGATGAAACCGACGAGGCGTTCGTCGTAGTTGAAGCCGGCTTTCCATATCAGAGAACCGTACCCGAAAACCCACATCGCCATTTTTGAGCTTTTCTCTGCCTTTTTCTCTCTTACCAAACGCAGAGAAAAGAGAGACAGGGATGGGAAGGAGAGGGAGGAGAAATAAACAAATCAGCGTTTGGTTTAAGTATTGTATTGGGGCTTGGAGAAGAGCCAGGTTCATTTTTTAAAGGAGGGAGGGTCCTGCGATTTTGACTGATTGTCCAATAGGAATTTGCCACGTCAGTGTCCTTTTTAAATGGAAAGAGGCCAATGGACCTTTTAAAGTCTTTTTGTCCACGGGGATTTATCACAAAAAGGTGGGACTCACGTAGCAAAATGAGAGTATTTAATTTGAGGATTTAAATTGAATAATAATTTATAATTTATTATAATATTTTTTTTATAAAAAATATACATAAATTAAAAATA